CTGACAAAGTCGAGTTTTCAGAAGAAAGAGTGACCAATGTACCATCAGATGTCCACAGAATTGCGCTATCAATGGCTCAAGACATGATTCATACTGTATCTCGCGGACGTGTGAAAACACCGAAACATGTTGCCCTTCCATTGACTGTGAAAAGTCTTACYGGAAATTCMGAGGTCCTTACCCTTCTAAATCGCTTTGGTCATGGTTTGTCTTATTCACAGATAGAGGAAGTTGAAACAGCAATAGCAGAACGGCAGATCGAAAGAAACAACGAAGGAATCCTACTCCCAAATGCCTGTATACCTGAAATACCTGCTATATTTTGTTGGGACAACAATGATCTCCAAGAAGAAACATTGTCAGGTATTCTAAATTAATGTATGCCCACATAGATGATCCAAAATTATTTTTGTCTATATTTCAAATAAATATGCCTTTTTATGAATTTAGGAAAAGGGACGACCCATTGTACAAATGGAATTGTGATCCAAAGGAAAGTGCATRCATGTTTACCTCCCCCAGCCACATCTGATGCTCAAYCGCGGTCAAAGAGGCGATCTGTGACTGGAATCCACACAGAAGTTCTTCCTTACAATTCAGGTCGGAGAAAAGGTCCCAATCCTGTTACAGCCAATGAAAATACAATCCTGAAATCAGATCCYRATGTTGTAGAATACGCACATCTCTTAGACTTTGGATGGTTGCTTTGCCGTCTGYCCTTGCAAGATACCTTATTTGATTACAATGATRTCCAACAACAAGTACTTCCATCATGGTCTGCCTTCAATGCTGATTTGAAAAGTTCAAACATGCACAGAGAATGCCAGGTTAACTACYGCCCTGTAGTTGAAGCAAGCCCGACAGAGTTATCCACAGTGTTCACAGTCTTGAAGAATACCATAAACATGGCTAATCAACTYGGTCAGGAAGATGCTGTTATAGTTCTCGACCAAACCATATATGCCAAAGCATTAGAAATTATCTGGCAGAACAAGCAGGAATTCCAACGTCTAGTTGTCAGAATGGGCGCATTCCATGTCACATGTGCTTATCTTGCAGCAATTGGAAAACGCTTCGGAGATGCATCTGGTTCAGTGGCCGGTGTGCTGGAGGGTCGTCACTATAATCGCGCTGTGCGCATGCATAAGGTATCAAATTAGTCTTTCAATTGTCAGCTTGACACATGAGACAAAAAGTAAATTAAAAAGTAAAATACTCTTTTTTAAATTTTCTTYTTCAGATTGTGTTTGAAGCATTGCATAGAGTTTTATGGCTGTCCTTCGGAAAGTGGCTCAAACAACGAGTGSAAAGAATCAACTTTGTTCATCTCGTGCATGCAGTGAAACAAGCGCGTGCAAATTTTTCACGCGAGAGTTTCAAGGTGTTGATGTTAACTGAGCAGTTCACTCAAGTCCTTCATCTCTATCGGCTATTTTGCAGTGAGGATAGTTGCCCGATGAAAGCTTTCTGGTTGTCGTATTTAGAGATGGTCAGACTGTTGCTGAACTTCATTCGAGCCACACGAGAAGGGAATTGGAATCTTCACTTAGATTGTGTCAAGGAGATGATCCCATGGTTTTATGCCTATAACCATATCAACTACTCACGATACCTTCCAGTGTACCTGTTGGACATGATTCTCTTGCCTGAGACACATCCAGGAGCAAATGCCATGCTGGAGAATGGAGACTTTRGCGTTCAGAGAACAACAGACCATGGCTTCTCCCAAGTACCTGTTGATCAGACGATCGAGCAAACATTGAATAGGAGTACGAAGACAAAAGGTGGAATCGTGGGCTTCARTTTAAAGACTGGTGCAGTGCAAAGGTGGATGATGACTGCTCATTACCGAGCAGAAATTGTAGACAAGTGCAGAGAAATGGCTACAGGTGACAAGCAAAATCAGAATAWACCACACAAAGAAGCAAGCACCTCCCGCATGCAAAGAGACGAGGGGGATGTAAAGAAAGTAATAAGTGTGATAAACACTTAAGCCTTCAGAGGAGCTAGTAAATCTGAGTTCTGGGCGTATCGCTAGTGAGAAGGTGGAAAACGACCTATTAAAGGCAAAAGAAAAAGGGAAAGCAGCTGCAGAAGAGTTTATCAAGAGCAGATTATTGTCGAGCAATACTGGTTTCTTTGAASCAATCAAAAAGATGARSCTAGGAACATTTAAAGAAACCAGAAAAACAGCAACAATCAACACCAAATCAAAGAACATCATCATCCAAGCTGACAGGAACCTATTTGCCAGGTAGTTTGTCATTGGTAGAAGTCGTAAGGTATGCCTTCGCGAGCTTCTTTCTTACGAGCTTGGCCCAATACCGTGGTCATTGACTTCCTGTGATGGATCCTTGGCAAAGACAAATAAAGCAAGCCTCTCCAAAATTCTAGAAGAAGATATTCTCCATCCACATTCTCTGCCAGACGATACAAGCACCATTATCATCGACGCCATGGCAATGCTCCAAATGCTTGTGAAAATACCCGATCGGTTTGGGGATCTTGCTGAAGTTATCTTTGATGGAATTCTAAAGCAGTCAGGCAATGGTTCACGCATTGACTTCGTTGGAGACCAATATCCCAGYGTTTCTATAAAGAACACAGAACACCACAGAAGAGGTAAAGAGGGGGAACTTCTGGTCAATATCAGCAGTCCAGACCAAACTTGTCCACGACAATGGAAGAAATTTATGGCCAATGGAYAGAACAAGACACAGCTAATGAGTTTCTTAGCTTTAGAATGGTCCAGTAACAAGCGATATGCAGAAAAGATCGGAGATGGCACAGTGTATATTACTCATGGCTCCTTATGCAAAAAGATTGTCCTAAAGGATGGTGCGATAGATACCACAGCAGTTGATGAGCTCAATAGCAATCAACAGGAAGCTGACACTCGCATATTTCTCCATGCATCTCATGCTGCTTGATCTGGTCACAAACAAATAGCCATTAAGTCGTCGGATACAGATGTTGAGGTGTTAGCTTGTCATCACCTAAAAAGTATTGATGCTAAACTACTCATCATCAGCGGTACCAAAACCAGATCTCGCCTTATAGATGTATCATCTATATGTGATCACCTTGGCCCAGAATTGTGTGAGCTTCTTCCCGGTTTACATGCCATGACAGGATGTGATACAGTTAGTACCTTCGTTGGCCGTGGTAAGAAAAAGGCACTTGACATCGTACAAGAACATTCCAGAAAGTCTGAGACCGCTGGGAGTGTCAGTGCCATTGAGTGAAGAACATTTTCAAGGAATCCAGCCTTTCATTTGCATGTTATATGGAGACAAAGATTCAMTGTGTGTCAACGAAACAAGATACAATCTATTTTGTAAGCATCCAAGTCTGCAGTCCCATCAAATCCCACCGACTGAGTCAGCTCTACGACAACATCTTCAACGAGCTAATTACCAGGCATACATCTGGAGAAATGCATTATTACAAACCATCCCTAGACAAGAACCAGAAGGAAATGGCTGGAAGACTATCGATGGACATTTAGAGGTTGTGTGGACTAATCTAACCCCTGCACCAGATGCTGTGATGGAACTTGTGTCTTGTGCGTGTAAAGGTACCTGCTCAACAAGGCGGTGCTCCTGTGTTAACAACAAACTGCCTTGTACAGAAGCCTGCTTGTGCAAAGACTGTGAAAATGTGACCAC